GTATATCTTCTTCAAATTTCCAACATAATGCACAATGTGAGAGCAATACACGTGTGCTCTCTCTGCAGTCATTGTTCGGGTGCATGTGAGATGCACCGAGCAAACAAGTTCCATAGTATGGTCGAGAACAGCTCTAAGGTGAGTGCCAACTTCATCGGAAGGATGTGAGGTGCCAGCCCCCCACAAGCTCACCAGGGCAATAGGAATGTAGACAGTGATTAGAGAGTGCCATTTGTCCGCTTTCATCGTCCTGGCAGATGTGCTTCTGAAATCACTTGGGACTGAAGTAAACCAAGATGGAATGATTATCTGCTAGATGACATCTCGGACATAATGAAGGGCATCTAGAGAATCAAGCTGAAGCTCCTTCTCAGGAGCAGCAAAAGGTTTTCCACAGCGCTGAGAACAAACATAAAAAACTCACAACAAAGTAGACATATTAAGAACTTACCCATTCCACGAGAGCTTTGATGTAGTTGATTTTGAACAATCTACTAGATTTCTGGGGAGTGCATTGCAAGGCCTTGCAAACAAACTTGAGAGGTCCTGTATTCTTGCAAAACAGTAAATTTTTTAGGTTATCCAGATTTTCGTCATTGGAAGACAACTGGGAAACAAGAAGGGTGCGTATATGTTAAGACTGTGCTCAGGGCTAAGGCAGATTCTGAGGGGCTTGGCTTCAGCTTGTGCGCTGCGCCCCTAATTTTGGAATGTAGTCCAACACGAGTTCTATGAGTTCCGACAGGACGTTGGAATGAGGGTCCTCCGAAGGAGGACTGACAAACTACTAGGTGAGCGTGGGAAAGTCGGGTGGGGTTGTTCCGCCTGACAGGAGAGAGGTTGAGGATTACTGTGGTCAGAACTGCTTGGACAAAGTCCAAAGCAGGGCGGAAGAGGGGATGGATGTGCAAGAGTGCGGGGATCAGTTCTGATGCACGGGAAAGGTGGCCGACGCATGGGGAGTCGGAAGAGTGGAGGAACGGAGGAACAGAGGAACAGAGGAACAGAGGAACAGAGGAACAGAGGAACAGAGGAACAGAGGAACAGAGGAACAGAGGAACAGAGGAACAGAGGAACAGAGGAACAGAGGAGTGGGGAAGTGGCCAACCTAGGGAGTCAATCCCCTAGGTTGGCAAACAGGAGTTGTCAAGGGTTTTACCCAAGAACAAGGACAAGAGAGCAGGGCTTAGAAAAGGTAATATTGAGACTAAGGATCTACAGACAGATGTACATATGTTTATATACTCTAAGTAAGTAGCATAGCATAGCAGAAGGCTATGCTGAGTGTACAGGATTACAAGAGAGATAACTGAGACATACAAGAAGAGGCTCAGAGAATATTATGTACACGACAGATCAGAAATCACTCAGGTATAGGGATTATCGGTGATCCAAAAAGCGGAACTATGATACTAAATGGAGATAGGACCAGTTGAGTGGTTCCTAGTCTAGGAGTGGACTGGTGAGGTGGTCGGGTGGACTAATCATTGGGTGGACTAATCATTGGGTGGGGCAACAAGAGTGGAACTGAAGGAACTGAGCGGGTCCAAAAAGCGGAGGGAGTAGGAATAGGATCGGGCAGACCAATAGGGTGGAGGAGCAGAACCCCAGATAGGGTCAGATGGAAGGGGTATAGTGTCGGAGGACATAGGGGTAGTGTCGGAGGTGCAGAACAGGGTCGGGCAGAGGTAGCAGGGCTAGTCCTGCTGAGATGCACTTCATGCATTGTCAGAGAAGGAGGGATGGAGTGGACGGAAAAACAGGGGGTTGGACTAGGGGTGGGGATGTTCACAGGTGGTATTGGAGGAGCCTGGATCTGGTATATGACAGCTGGCAGCAACCTGAGCTTGGTGTGGACTGATCATTGGCAATGAAAGCAGGGAATGCTGGGTGGCATGACTGTACATACAGTCATGCCCTGGAAAAGGTCGTTGAAGGTCGTTGTTGACAAGTTTCCACCCAAGTTGTTTCTGCAATAGGCGGTCCCATAAAAGACCAGAGTAAGGATGTTAAACCCATGATCAATATAGGACAAAGGGTCCTATGGAAGACCAGGGAAAGATGTTAAACCCATGATCAATAAGAGGAGAATAACATCATGATGACTCAATTCATAGATCTGCAGCTTCTGCCCAAGTTGTTTCTGTGATAGGCGGTCCAATGAAAGAGCAGGGTAAGGATGTTAAACCCATGATCAATATCACAAAGGGCTGCCACAGACGTTGAACCAGGAAGTGATGGATGTTGACTTGGAGTTGGGACATTGGCGGTGGCGGTGGCAATGAAAGTAGAGAATGCCGGGCACGACCATACATACAGTCATGCCCTGGAGAAGGTTGCAGAAGGTCATTGTCGACGAGAAGCCTGATGACGATACAAGAAGTGAACACCGGGCACGACTGTACATATAGTCATGCCCTGGAGAAGGTTGTGAAAGGTCACTGTTGATGAGAAGTCTGGTGACAATGAAAGAGGAGAATGCAGGTGTTAAGGTCGTGCTCAAGGGGAAGACAACTCAAAGGGCTTCAGCTTCAGCTCGTGTGCTGTGCCCCTTACCTGAGTATGTGCCCTTAATTTCTGAGGGGCAGAGAGGAAGTCCGACGGAAGTCTGGGGAAGTCCGGAGGTCAGTCATTGGGGGAGTTCGGTGGAACTCTGGAAGACTATGAGAGAACAGAGTAAGGCTACTATGGACAAGTCCAGAGTAGAAACAGAACAGAGTATAGACTACCCTAAGGTAGAGCTGGAGATTTAGTCCTAAGGTTTACCCCTAAGACTCAGAGATAGACAAGAGATGAGACTCAAGTCCGGAGAAGCAAGAATGAGCAGAACTAAGATGATATTTGAACTGAGGAGTTCCGGAGTATTACAGGAGTTTATATACTGTAGGTATCATGTAAGTAAATCAGTCAGCAAAGTAAGGGCTATGTATGAAGCATGTGGAAAGTCTATTAGTAAGTGCATACAGATCAAAGCAGTGAGGTCAGAAATGAAGTATGAACAGACAGATCAGTAAGCATAGCGGTGTGGGGAACATCCCCACTGTAGGCCTGTATCCTGTATAATTCCCAAGCCTTACCACCATCTTCCTGTGCATTCTACTACCATTCTGCTACCCATCTGTGTCTTACCTGACCCGTCCACTACACGGAACCCAGCAGAACAATTGTGTACCATGCGCATCATATCCCTTTAGCCTTCAGAATGTCCTCCTCCATCCTGTCCCTGTCCTTCCATCCTCACTGGTGAGTACTAGTTACGTTCCCCGTGTTACTAACATGTTCCTATCTCATTTCATGTGTTACGATACTTATACGAATCCTTCCACTACTTAGAACCGGTTCCTTATCTCACAGCCTCACCCAGTTGTAGCATAGCGCTTTCTGGAACCCCTTCCTATATAGATAGCAATAGATGGGATCTTAGTTTTTTACCTTTTGATAGACCCAACTCCACTTCCACTTACAGAGTACTTCCCAGTACTCCACTCACTGTTTAAAATATCTTCCCAAATCTATTCCTGATCTCATCGCAATGTTCCCGCCTCCATGAGTTCCGCTCAAAACACCTGAGATCAGATCCGACAACTTAGAGCAAGTACCAGACACAAGCCTGGTCCGACTTTGCCCAATCATCCTCCTGCAGGCTCGTAGTTTCCTTTCCCTCCGTTAGTTCTATTTGTTCCCCGTTTGTTCCATTTGTTCCCCGTTTGTTCTGTTTGTTCCATGTTAGTTCTGTTAGTTCCGTGTAGTTCCACTCGTTGCGTGTTAGTTCTGCTCGTCACGCGCTGAGTTCTGCTCATCACGTACCTTCCGCATCTTTGTGTTCCCAGTCCTAGTAAGGACCAGAACCCTTCGGGTCGCTAGACAGAGTCTAGTCTTTGCTTTCCTCACACTTACTTGAGGACCCGCTACCCAGTAGCAATCCCCTCGGGATGAGTATTAGTCTTGCACCCTTGTTAGACATCTGAATCACCCCAGAGTCTATTTTCCTCAGCCACAGCGGAAAGGATATAACTGGTAGCCAGAGCAATAGCTATTCTAAAAGGAGCTAGGGGTGAGTGCAGAGATGAAGGCGGAGCGCCGGGTGGAATAACAGGACGGAGAACTGGACTTTAGTGGAGGGGATCCGGAGGTACAGGATATGACAGCAGGGCATGACTGTATGTACAGTCATGCCCTGGAAGAAGGTGAGGAAGGTTGTTGTCGACAAGGAGAATGGCAGGCTCGACAGTACAAACCATCAAACCTCCTAGAAGAAGGTAGTAAAGGACTTAGTAATAGTAATAAAGATAAGGGACTTAGAACTTTGACGACAAAAGCGCCCAACAATCACAAACAATCATATTCGGAAATTGTTACATAACATTGACTGCTCAAGCCTTTCAACCCTGACATTTATCACAACTATGAGCACAACAGTATGTACTGTCGTGCTCATTGAGTTCATCATTCCTATCTTTGGAGCACAACAGTATGTACTGTCATGTCTCATGTGTTTCAATAAATCCCATTACCACCCACCTCACCAACTCCATCCTTTTTCGCTGATCAAGCCATCAACTCCTCCAGGTCATCCCCTCTACCGTACATACAGTAGAGTGGGCAATGGCTAATCTGCCTTCGCTTACTGTGATCCTTTAGATCATGTTGGTCCGTTCCTCCATACATCCTCTGAGTCAGGTAAGCTCCAATTGTTGACAGATCCAACCATTAATCAACCAACAAGTCCAGCCATCAACACCCATCATCTCCTCCACCATACATACAGTGGAGTGGGCAATGGCTAATTCGCTTTTGCTTATTGCGACCCCTTGGATCACATTGGCCCATCCCATCTGTCTTCTATGTCAGGTAACCAAGTCATTTGTTAAAAATCCAACCCCATTGACCAACCATTAAACAATCCAGCCATTAACCCCTCCATCGTACATACAGTGGAGGGGGAATTGACTTATCTTCTGTTCCCTACAGTTCGCTTACACCATCTATTCAACATGCTACTATGCTACCCCAACTGTCATCCATCGGAATGTCTCATCTGACACATTCAACCTTTCTACCTGACCTCCAGTAAGACCATCAAACCATCTGCCGTTGTATAGGGCTTTGGGTAATCCAGTGACCAGGTTCCATACAGTCGTCAAATTTCCCGATGTGTGTATTCTTTTCATTGGTTTGGAACCCTGGGGCGCAAAAATTTCATCATCCAACACTCTCTGGTTATTGATGATATTCAGTTCTTGCTCTATCCCATGACACCATGCCATGTTCTTGACCCAGAGTACACATTTGATGTTGTTTTCTATGTCACTTTCTTCTGAACTCATACCTCCATCTCCCAGCATCTTGATTAGTTTTTGAAGCCAATGCCAAGCTGGTAGGTCCTCGTCCTCGCCATCTTTCTTCAGCTCAATAACTTGCTCCAGAACTTTTGCTCTGTGGAGATATTTCTATAGATGCATTAGTATCTGAAGAGCCTTGAGATCATGCTGTGGACATACATTTCGCCAACAAGTTGTTTGACAAACTGACTTCAGATTTTCACCTCTTTTTGGAATTAACCTCTCCTCCACTTCTGCTGCAGTCTCCAAGCTGCCCTTTGCTGTATGCTTTGGTTGTGCTGCTCTCCAGACCATCTGCAGCTGCTTGTAGTGATCTTCGAGTATCACCTTATAATAGCCATCTGACCTCTGGAACGGCCACTCCTCTTCTACACTCCCCTTCTTCAATTCTTCAAGGAGAATATTGAGAGTTTTCGCATTCTAGGGGGTGTTAAATCTGTGTTTGAGATGAAAGGCCAGATTCTGGGTGTTGGGGCCTGGGCCATCTTCATATGAGTACGAGTACACATCTTCACGATCCGCTGGTTGGTGCACAATAAAATCTGCATCTTGAGATATACTGAAGGTATCTTTGAGGAGATGCTGGATTTCACCCTACTTCATGCTTAGCATCAGCATATACATCAAAAATTTAACTCTCGCAAGAAGGAAGTCTCTTTTGTGGCTCAATTCTGTGGCTCTTGCTCAATCATTGCTGATCATTCTCGATGCGTTTCCATAGGGTCGTCAGTGTCCTGCTAGGATGTGAGTTTAAAACGAGTTCTGACCGCTTAGTACTTACCTCTACTGCAGATACCAGGTGCATCTTGTGTGTTGTTCCACGTGCCTTCCTGATCTTTTTGATCGTCTCGAGGCACAGAGTCTTGAACTGTGGTTTCTGGGGCATTTGGGGTGGCTGTTGAGCGTTCCTTTGGGTGGGGTCTGTGCCGATTTCCGTGGCCGCATGCTGTTGCCTACCGTGTCTTGTGAAGTGCTGCTCCATGTTAGTGAGCTTGTTGTCTTTTTCTACCTTCATTTTTTCTATTTCTAGTTGTAGCCTTCGCTCCATTTTGGCAAAAATGGCTCTCTCGCGTTCTTCTAACTGCTTGACATCATTAGTGATTCCCGTGTTTGGTCATTCTTCCCTACCTCTTGATTTTTTCTTGTATTTAAATCTGTGTTGTGTCGTGCCAGTTCTTCAGTCAACTACTTGCCATCATTAGTAATTCCTTGGTCAGTCGTTCTTTCTGACCTCTTGGTCTTTTCTTGCACTTATTTTTGCTTCGTGCCATGCTAGTTCTTTAGCAACATTCTTCCTCAGCAGTGCTTGCTGCTGCTCTTGCCATGTGTGAATTTCCTATTAACTTATAAGCATGCATCTGACTGAATGCATCTGTTGCACTTACTTGCTTTTCCTGCTCTCGCTCTCTCAGAGCTGCTTCCCATTGCTCATTGAAATCGCACATGTGGTGCTCATGCTCTTCTTCTGCAAGATATTGTTGCTCCTCAAAGTGGTCTTGAGCTTCTTGGTGTATCTGCCGGTATGATCAGCAGTGTATTTTCAATGAGTTTCTCGTGCGTACCACTTCAGTTTCCTGTATAATATTGTTAATATGTTCTTGTTGTTCATACACCGTCTGGTGAAGTATCTGTGAATAGTCGACTCCATGAAAGTGATGCTTCCCAGATATCTGGATGGGCATTATGAGCCATGGAAGCTGATTCATACTGTTAGGTACTGTGCCGACTCAGGAAGCAGAGGGGTCAGGGCTTGGCTTCAGCTCGTGCTCTGCGCCCCTAGCCGAGTATGTGCCCCAAATTTGGAGCAGGTCCGACGTTGTCCGACGGTAGGATGAGTGGACCGCTTTGGTCCGCTTTGAGGGTCGGGGGATAAGAGCTACTAGTGGTGGGCCGACTAGGAGCAGAGCGGAGAAGGCAGGGAGTGATGCGGAGAGGGGATAGGAGCAGGGGAATGTTGGTAGGGGCGGGAAAGGCGGAGGATAATGCAGAGGGGTGAAGGAAGATATTTGATAGGGGCGGAGTAATAAGGGAAAGACTTAGAGCACGGCTCTAAGTCGGAGCGGAGGGTCGGAGGGTTGGAGGTGACAACAAGTTGAGACTTGTGTCCAGAGGAGGCAAGGTCCTACTGAGGATTCTCACAAGATGTAACTGCAAGAAGACAAGTAATATTAAGACTGAGGAAAATATCTAAGTACAGGATATGTTATATACTTCTATGTATGAGGCAGTGATCAGGATAACTATGTAGTAAAGCTATGTACCAAGGATATAGTTTGTAAGTACTTTTACACAGGTGAAGACAGAAGTTGGAGTGGATATCAATATGTACGTGTCGGATCAGTGATCGAGCGGTAATAGGAATTACCGGTTGTCTGGAAGTAAGGGTCTATGTACTAAAGGGGGAAGTATATATCTAAAAGGGGAAAGAGATCCAGTTGAATGGAGAGGTTATGGAAGGGGACCGGTTGAGCGGTTGAGCAGAAGCATAGGGGCGGAATGTGGACTTGTGGTTGGACGGAGTGGAGGATGGATGGAGCGGAGGGGGTCGGAAAGCGGAGTGGATATCAATATCGGAGCGGTTGGATCAGGTATATGACATGTACTATCTACATACCACTTCATCTCTGGCCCTCTTGTCGAGTCATGGCACACTGGTGGGAGGCTGACTGAGAGCATCCACGAAGTCACCAGCACCCTTATTGTTGTCTTCATTATCACAAAATAAATCCATGTCATGAGATGTTTGTACATCTTCTGGCAGAAACTTAGGATGTTGCATGTCAATGTCAATGTTATTGACACTCATAATGGGGCAATAATCCATCGTCAGTTTGCAAACATCATTCCTGGGTCTTTTTAAGCTATGTGCATGCATTTTGTCTTGATTCTTTTAGACATCTTGTTGTATGAATGAACAACAGAAGTTCCAACAGGTCCAGGTTCATCACCATCGCTTTCAATTATCTTTTGCTCTATTTGCTCTTACAATTACCTCATACAATTACCCTTGGTGACCAATGTATTAACAGGAATATATTACTTCATACAATTACCCTTGACAACTAGCACTGCAGGATTATCATTGCAGTATTGTCATGCTTTGGTTTGGCTCTCCACTATTTTTTTCGTCAACTACATCCCCCGAACCATTATGGTTATTGTCTTTGACTCAGCATGTGAAGTTATTGAAAGACGGATCGCTGCTATAGCCTGCTTCCATCACCCACTTTCATCACCCGCATTCATCGCCCACCTCTTAGATTATTGCCTTGATCAAATTATAATCAGATGGTAAACACTCGCACATATATCTTTCCAACATGTCCTGTAAGTTATTGCTTACTACCTCACACCCTTTATTTACCTTCAATCAGACCCTGGAGCTTCACCTGGAGGAGGCTACCGTGCAGCCTTATGTTCACAACTGTTTCATGAATGTGTGCGAAGGGAGACACATCTATTGATTCTGCATCTTCTTCAAGCAACATCTTTGTCTCAGAGCCAATGTGCTTCTTAGCAGGGGTGATCATAAGTTCCGAGGCGATGCAGTTGTTATAAAGGTTGGAGTCAACCATCCCTCAGTTGTGAACATGCAAGCCAGAGATAATGCGCTTGCTGACTTTATAATTCACCAGTGAGTAAACTCGATGATCTATTGAGCCTACCATAACTATCTTTTCAGCTTTGCGCAAAGCATAAGTAGTCGTCCAAGAGCTAGGCTCCCACACGATCTTACTCTTGTGAAACCCTTGAGCACTTGTACCAATTGTCGGTCAGCTGCAAGGTGTGGAGTAGTATAATTTCCTAGACTACAAAAGCATTATTACATATGGAATTTCTCAGCTGGACTGTAGATATATACCAAACAAGATCTGTTCCATATAGAATACCATATTGACGTAGTACAGTGCCATGATGATCTTGACCAAACATTTGAAAGTGCTGGCTTGAACTGATACTGACGGGTTCTAGGTAGCTTCGCAGACAACTTGCATGATGTAGTTTCACTCTCTCTGATGATCTTGACCAAACATTCGAAAGTGCCAGCTTGAACTGATACTGATGGGTTCTAGGTAGCTTCGCAGACAACTTGCATGATGTAGTTTCGCTCTCCCTGATGCATGTAAAACTCATGGTTACTAGTTGGTATTCCATCCTGTCTGATACTGTGAATGAATATGCTTGATTTTGGAATGCTGTTAAGGTTGTGCTCAAGGGAGAGGTTACTCAAAGGGCTTCGGCTTCAGCTCGTGTGCTGCGCCCCTTACCCGAGTACGTGCCCTTAATTTCCGGGGGACAGAGGGGAAGTCCGACGGAAGTCTGGGGAAGTCTGGAGGTCAGACATCAGGGGAGTTTGGCGGAACTCCAGAAGACTATGAGGGAACGGAGTAAGGCTACTACGGACAAGTCTAGAGTAGAAACAGAACAGAGTTTAGACTACCCTAAGGTAGAGCTGGAGATTTAGTCCTAAGGTTTAATCCCTAAGACTCAGAGGTAGACAAGAGCTGAGACTCAAGTCTGGAGAAGCAGGAATGAGCAGAACTAAGATGATATTCAAACTGAGGAGTTCCGGAGTATTACAGGGGTTTATATACTGTAGGTATCATGTAAGTAAATCAGTCAGCAAAGGTAAGGGCTATGTACGAAGCATGTGGACAGTCTATTACTAAGTATAACAGATCAAAGCAGCGAAGTCGGAAATGAAGTAAGAATGGACGGATCAGTAAGCATAGCGGAATAGGACATAACTGGTAACTGGAGCAATAGCTAATCTAAAAGGAGTTAGGGGTGAGTGCGGAGATGAAGGCGGAGCGCCGGGTGGAATAGTAAGATGGAGGACCGGACTTTAATGAAGTAGATCCAGAATTCTGGATCCGGAGGTACGGGATATGACAAATGCCAGCTTAACATAGAATGCATACAGCACGTAATAATGTCAGAGACATCTAATGTGGTGGGGGTATCACTTCCTGACCTTGCTCTTGCTCTTGCCTACAGCCGTTTCTCCCACCTTTCATCTCGCACGACCAGACATGTATTTCAGGCATGTCATGATCAAATTGTTGACTGGCCACAAGTTGTAATAATTGTCAAGGTCTGGGAAGTTGTCAAGCGCCTGAGATGATAAGTTCATTGACAATATTGAGACACAGAGAAACTGTTCACCTTGCCACGCACAATGTCCAATAGCGCGGGACTTTGGGCAGAAGTGCATTTTGTCATGTCAAGGTGGTCCTTGATGAGACTATGCATAGACCTCTTAGGAATTCGTGAGTTAATTTGTAATACTAAGGGTACAATGACAATTTGCAAACCTGTCATATACCTGATCCAACCACTCCGATACTGATATCTGCTCCGCTTTCCGACCGCTCCGCCCCATCCATCCTCCGCTCCGTCCAATCACAAGTCCGCATTCCGCCCCTATGCTTCCGCTCAACCGCTCAACTGGTCCCCTTCCATAACCTCTCCATTCAACTGGATCTCTTTCCCCTTTTAGATATATACCTTCCCCATTGGTACATAGACCCTTACTTCCAGACAACCGGTAATTCCTATTACCGCTCGATCACTGATCCGACACGTACATATTGATATCCACTCCAACTTCTGTCTTCGCCTATGTAAAGTACTTACAAACTATATCCTTGGTACATAGCTTTACTACATAGTTATCCTGATCACTGCCTCATACATAGAAGTATATAACATATCCTGTACTTAGATATTTTCCTCAGTCTTAATATTACTTGTCTTCTTGCAGTTACATCTTGTGAGAATCCTCAGTAGGACCTTGCCTCCTCTGGACACAAGTCTCAACTTGTTGTCACCTCCAACCCTCCGACCCTCCGCTCCGACTTAGAGCCGTGCTCTAAGTCTTTCCCTTATTACTCCGCCCCTATCAAATATCTTCCTTCACCCCTCTGCATTATCCTCCGCCTTTCCCGCCCCTACCAACATTCCCCTGCTCCTATCCCCTCTCCGCATCACTCCCCGCCTTCTCCGCTCTGCTCCTAGTCGGCCCACCACTAGTAGCTCTTATCCCCCGACCCTCAAAGCGGACCAAAGCGGTCCACTCATCCTACCGTCGGACAATGTCAGACCCGCTCCAAATTTGGGGCACATACTCGGCTAAGGGCGCAGCGCAAGAGCTGAAGCCAAGCCCTGACCCCTCTGCTTCCTGAGTTGGCATGGTACCTAACAGAACCTTGAATTTTGCATATGCCTTTGGATTCCAATCTAAAGCTTCACGAAGTGTGTACCCCCCACGCCCTGGACACCCAGGTTCACTGGCAGGGTTAGGAATCTTTGAGTCTTCTGATAAACTCATGCTTGAAGTTGAGGAGTCGCTATCTGAGAAAGAATCCAAAGAGCCTGAGGAATCTGAGGGTGAAGGCATTTGAGAATGGGAGTGCATGGAAATGACTTTCTTGGTGTATGGAGAGGAAGAGTGATCAGAATGCTTGCACATCTGCTTCGCAAGCTTGAATTCAGGGGCAGGTGTAGACAATGAAGCCCTTGCAGTGGGAATGATACTAGCTTTAGGAACTAGGATTTCATCAGCAATAAGTGTAGTCAGGTGACAATTGGCATTGCCAAACAGCTCTAGCTGGTCCATGAGCATTGGGGGAAGAGGTGGTGGAGCACCAGGCTCCAAGTCATAGAAAGGTGGAACAATTGTAGTACTGCACATGATAGAGAAAGAACCGAGTAGCTACCTGGAACCTAAGGACGGTTCATGAGAGGTAAAGCATTCAACAGACTACCATATTGAGTGAAAACAATAAGGGGCTTCAAAAATGGTAACCAAGAATAGCACTTATAAAGAATAAGAATAAGAATAAGAATAATAGGGGTAGCCATCAATGTATCTCAAGAGAAGAATAAGAATAATAGCAGAATAGCACTACACAAATGGCGTTGATAATGACTATAAAGTTACCATGGAATCAAACAAATACTGGTAACAATACAAAAGTATTTGAAAACAAATGAGAAGTACAGATAAATATGTTGTGAGCGGGTGACTACAGCAGATCATATCATAATGTCTTTCCTTGTGTTGTTCAACAAGTCAGCGCAGCCACTGCGTTACAAGCTGCTAGCTCGTTTAACTGCCTATAATGGCTCTATCCATGCACTTGGGATTTCTAATGATGGACACCTGCTTGCATGTGGTGGTAAGAAAGCAGAAACTCAGTCATAGACAGGGCTAACAAACAAACAGGTACCGAGGGAATCAAACTCTGGGATATCAAATCTCGGAAAGAACTCACATCTTTGTCTAATCATCAGGAATCAAGGGGAACAGTCAGTTGCGCAATCTGGGCCACTACTATGAAAACCACGGCAGAAACCCTCTGTTATGGAACAGGCCTGGGTTATATCGTATGTTTGCGATGCAGTCTCACAGATGTAAGGGCCTAGGTTTGCTGTTTGACCATCTGTTGACACCAACAGGAAAAATTCCAGGAAATATGCGCCAGGAGACTGGGATCAGGTTTTGAGATCACATGCTTGTCATGGTGTTCAACTTCCTCTGAAGGCAACCTGCAAATTGTAGTCAGAACTAGAGACAAAATGGTTCAGGTTCTGACACTCAACACAAGCTCACGGCTCCAGTCTGTCTTTGCAGTGTGACTTGAAAATACAGTACCCAAGTCGGTAGTGTTTGCAGAAAACCAGAGCATCTATGTGTTCGGGCTCTATGATGGCAACTTGTCAGTCCTTCCACTGCATACTTTCATTGCCTATTGCCTGATGCTGAGAGCCGAACAGCATGAAACTGAAGGATGAAGATGGTGACATAGTGCAAGAAATTAGCTGCAAATCAGTGATGCGAGAAACTACTGCTCTCGACCTGGGCGCGTTACTGACATTATATAGTGGTCATGCTGCGGTGTACTCAAAGCAGGGCATTTTCATTGTAGATAATACAACAGATGGCTTTACATTATACTGCCTTGAAGGTGATGGTGAGCCTGTTCAAATGTTGGCAACTGGTTTGCCAAGCATGTTGGTCCTGAAGCAAGTGGCATTCGGGGAAGAAGGTAAGTGACCATGGGCTAGTATACATATTTGATCAGAAGACAGGGCAGATACTTGAAACCCTCCACCACACGGACACTGGCCTTGTGCAAACAACATCCGTAAGTATTAAGACTAGTCGGAAAGAATGTCACTGAACTGGTTTAGACACCCAATCTCAATGGCTGCTGCACAATTGCCAGCACTTTGCCCATGCCAGGGTGCGGGAAAACTACAATCAAGATATGGGTGTATGACTATGCAGTGCCGAAGGTATCCAAGGCGCCCTCAGGGGATTACTGGTCCCTGTCACACATACTGGTGATGTTGACACGACTACTGGCACTGCTATCTATGAGTGTCTTCCTGCTGATAAATTATAGAGACAGCTTTTTGGTAAGTGGGCCAGTTGGTCAGCAGGGATCTAACTAACGCACCTTCAGGATAGCACACTGAACTGCGTACATGGGTACATGACTTTGGCAACAATGATTAATGTGACCAATGACTTTTCACAGCATGTCCAAGCTGCCATTATATTTGACGAGTATGTAGATATCAAGAAGGATGATAAGGAAGGGCTGACCGAAGGATACGTCAAAAACGACATTATGATGCTCTGGGAATTAGCAGTAAAGCTCATGGAGCTAGCTCGAGAAGCGGATGGAGAGATCAACAAAGATAACATAGGGGCAAGTGCAATACTGATTACCCTGCGAGCAGTGAAAGGAGGTCGAACATAGACATAGGTTTTGCATTATGCCCTCCACCACATTGGGTAGATGGACATACAATGAGTCAAGTCCCCTTCCACTGTATGTATGGTGGAGGGGTTAACGGCTGGATTGTTTAATGGTTGGTCAATGGGGTTGGATTTTTAACAAATGACTTGGTTACCTGACATAGAAGACGGATGGGATGGGCCAATGTGATCCAAGGGGTCGCAATAAGCAAAAGCGAATTAGCCATTGCCCACTCCACTGTATGTACGGTGGAGGAGATGATGGGTGTTGATGGCTGGACTTGTTGGTTGATTAATGGTTGGATCTGTCAACAATTGGAGCTTACCTGACTCAGAGGATGTATGGAGGAACGGACCAACATGATCTAAAGGATCGCAGTAAGCAAAGGCAGATTAGCCATTGCCCACTCTACTGTATGTATGGTAGAGGGGATGACCTGGAGGAGTTGATGGCTTGATCAGCGAAAAAGGATGGAGTTGGTGAGGTGGGTGGTAATGGGATTTATTGAAACACATGAGACATGACAGTACATACTGTTGTGCTTGTAGTTGTGATAAATGTTGGGGTTGAAAGGCTTGAGCAGTCAATGTTATGTAACAATTTCCGAATATGGTTGTTTGTGATTGTTGGGCACTTTTGTCACCAAAGTTCTAAGTCCCTCATCTGTATTACTATTACTAAGTCCTTTACTACCTTCTTCTAGGAGGTTTGACGGTTTGTACTGTCAAGCCTGCCATTCTCCTTGTCGACAACAACCTTCCTCACCTTCTTCCAGGGCATGACTGTACATACAGTCATGCCCTGCATTCTCCTCTTTCATCATCACCAGACTTCTCGTAGACAGTGACCTTTCACAACCTTCTCCAGGGCATGACTGTATGTATGGTCATGCCCGGTGTTCACTTCTTGTATCGTCATCAGGCTTCTCGTCGACAATGACCTTCTGCAACCTTCTCCATGTTAGAATAACCAAGTGAACCAAGCCACAAGTGAGCTAATGAGAGTGAACAGGACTATAGTCCAGTGTCAGTTGCTATTGTGTTGTGTAAACTAATGAGTGTACTATACCTATAGTCCAGTGTCAGTTGCTAAAGAGCACCCAACACAGGACTTGCTACCTATGGGCGAGTCTATGTAAACAAGTGTAAACACTACCTAAGTAAGTAAGGAATTCACATCACATGCTAAGTAAGAGTCCAATAGAGGAAGCAACATCATAAGACAAATAACTCGCACCATAAGGTGCTCAATCACCACAACTAACACTCCAGGGCATGACTGTATGTATGGTCGTGCCCGGCATTCTCTACTTTCATTGCCACCACCACCGCCACTGTCCCAACTCCAAGTCAACATCCATCGCTTCCTGGTTCGACGTCTGTGGCAGCCCTTTGTGATATTGATCATGGGTTTAACATCCTTACCCTGCTCTTTCATTGGACCGCCTATCACAGAAACAACTTGGGCAGAAGCTGCAGATCTATGAAGTGAGTCGTCATGATGTTATTCTCCTCTTATTGATCATAGGTTTAACATCTTTCCCTGGTCTTCCATAGGACCCTTTGTCCTATATTGATCATGGGTTTAACATCCTTACTCTGGTCTTTTATGGGACCGCCTATTGCAGAAATAACTTGGGTGGACACTCGTCGACAACAACCTTCAACAACCTTGTCCAGGGCATGACTGTATGTACAGTCGTGTCGCCCAGTGTTCTCTGCCTCCATCGCCATTGTCAATGTCCCAACTCCAAGGTAACATCTATCACTCCCTAATATTAGCTGGTTGGAGACCAACTCTGCTTCTCTTCAGACTTCCTCGCAAAACACACATTTTTCTAAATGATGGTAACTAAATGAACTTGTGTCGACATCAGGCATCTTCACACATGGCTAGCAATCGTCAAACTCACTAGCTAACCATAACCCTGTGAATGCCAACTCAAACCCAAAATGAAAGACCAGAGTACCATTTTACTCCACAGCAACCTTCAGTGAGTCAGACTGGGTGGACACATTGACAACCTGCGGCCGTACACATAAGACTCTAATACATACCTGTGTCCAAATTCATTTTCTTAATCATTGCGAAATGTCATCTTCGTTTGGTAGTTCTTTACTCCATGTTAAGGTTGTGCTCAAGGGGAAAACAACTCAAAGGGCTTCAGCTTCAGCTCGTGCACTGCGCCCCTTACCCGAGTACGTGCCCTTAATTTCCGAGGGGCAGAGGGGAAATCCGACAGAAGTCCAGGGAAGTCCGGAGGTCAGATGTCGGAGGAGTTCAGCGGAACTCCAGAAGACTATGAGAGAACAGAGTAGGGCTACTATGGACAAGTCCAGAGTAGAAGCAGAACAGATTTTAGACTACCCTAAGGTAGAGCCGGAGATTTAGTCCTAAGGTTTAACCCTAAGACTCAGAGGTAGACAAGAGATGAGACTCAAGTCTGGAGAAGCAGGAATGAGCAGAACTAAGATGATATTTGAACTGAGGAGTTCCGGAGTGTTACAGGAGTTTATATACTGTAGGTATCATGTAAGTAAATCAGTCAGCAAAGTAAGGGCTATGTATGAAGCATGTGGAAAGTCTATTAGTAAGTGTATACGGATCAAAGCAGTGAGGTCAGAAATGAAGTACAAATGGACGGATCAGTAAGCATAGCGGAAAGGATATAACCAGTAGCCGGAGCAATAGCCATTCTAAAAGGAGCTAGGGGTGAGTACGGAGATGAAGGCGGAGCGCCAGGCAGAATAACAGGATGGAGAACCAGACTTTAGTGGGGGAGATCCGGAATTCACATAGTCGAAATCCTGTTTTTAATTTTAATTTTCTCCACTCATCTCACGCCACAGCCCTGGCATTGTTCTGTTTTCCTCTGCTTGTCTCAATCCACACAGACCACAGACCACACTCCCTGGTATTGTTGCCACTGATATGGTAATTGTTTGTTGAAACTCTGCTACTGCTATATTAGACGCACCAAACTTCTCTCATTTCGTTACCTTCTTCCTTATCTAACGTAACAGTTTGTACTGTTGTGGTAGTCTTGACTGCGATATTCTCAACATCTCTGATCTAGACCTAACATAACGGTTTGTACTGTTGCAGTAGTCTTGACTGCCAATGTCTCTCGTCTTGACTGCGATATATTCTCAATATCTCTCATCTAAACCTAATGTAACAGTTTGTACTGTTGCGGTAGTCTTGACTGTGATACTCTTTGCATCTCCTCGCTTCCATGAGTAACAATCTCTGTGTCATTGTCCGTGATGGGCAGGTTTATACCTCTCTCACCACACACTCCCTTCCCGACATCATACCTCATGAACCTCCTTGGGATCCTCATGAAGACTACAATTGTTCTGCCAATGATAGTAATATGCCACTCACTACTTGCTGGGTGTACAGAACTCGTCCGTGGTTTCCCCTTGTACCTTTGAATCTTAGCTTTGATGGGCCAATCTTGTTAGTTGTGGTGATTGAGCACCTTATGGTGCGAGTTATTTGTGTTATGATGTTGCTTCCTCTATTGGACTCTCACTTAGCATGTGATGTGAATTCCTTACTTACTTAGGCAGTGTTTACACTTGTTTACATAGACTCGCCCATAGGTAGCAAGTCCTGTGTTGGTTGCTCTTTAGCAACTGACACTGGACTATAGTCCTGTTCACTCTCATTAGCTCACTTGTGGCTTGGTTCACTTGGTTATTCTAACAAATCTTTGGATGCCTCAACCACTCCAGGTTTTCCCTCCTTACAGAGGTAGATCCATCAGGAAAGCACATTCTCCACTGCAATATTCGGGCAAAATGGCTCGACTTAGAGCAGAAACTGCTCTGGTGCCAGGAACATTTGGGTGCTGGGTTATTCATTCCATGGGGGGCTAAACTTCCACGCGCTCCAACTACCTATGGGTACCAACAGTTGCATGCAGATGCTAACATTGCTAAGAAGGTTGCAATAAGGTCGAGTGATGCATTTCTATGTAAGTCAACCAGTTTATTCATTGTTTGTGATTGCCTGACGGATTTCCAGTAATTGCTGCCACCTGCTCATGGTACATCATGAGTTGTCGATACCAAGGTGCCAATCAGTGGATGGCTATCTTAACGAGTGACCCCCAACATCCCATACCCACTGAATGGGTTCTTGAGTTGTCGCACTCATTCGTTGGAGATCTGACAACAAACATGCCACATATGGGAGCCTTGATCTATTCCATTCACTGTCCTTGGCAAGTTCAATTGCCCATGTTTGAGAAATTCTTGCTTCTGATTTGGGTCCACGTTTCTCAGAATCCTTCTGCCGCCATTGATTTTACTTTGCATCATTATATCCCGTCTCCGGCAGCTATCACCCATGTGACCGAGGCAGTCCAATGGAAGCAGACGCCTGACACTTGGGGTGAGCCAGATGACAGGGTGTGGGGTGAGCCGGACTATAGTGCGTGGGGTCGACCAGAAGACAACACTCAGAGTGTCCTTAACTGGGATGATAGTGTCCTTGGATGGGGTCAAAACAGTGGGGCACAGCCTGTGTCTGATGTTCCTGAAGCACATGCGGACTCTCTGTTCCCAGTCTCCCAACCCCACTCTAGACAGAGGCGAGGAGAAGACTGGAAGGCATTCTTTGTGTGGCACCGTCAGGAGAACAAGAGGAAAGAGGAGACTGGAGACGCCAGCTCAACAGCAGTCGTGTCAGAGCTGTAAGTGAGTAGCCATGAACCACAGCATTCCTGGCAAATCCAACACAGTTGTGGTGTTTGAATGGCAACATAATGATGAGTTTGGCGGCTTTCATCAACGCATCCGTCTCACAAAGGCTGAGATACCAATGACTTGGATGTTGTATAGCAAATCTACCAGGGTATATGATTCGTTCCATAATGAGTGGGACTTGTGCGATGCATTGGATCTTACCAGTGTTCCTGATGGCAATTGGGAGGAAGATGATTTCCCACCTGTGTCTACTCCTTTTGAACCTACCCCTGCTCCCCCTGCCCCTCCACCACCCTTGTCCAGTTTCCTGAAAGACATTGAAGCCTACTTCGGTCATTATGAGGTTGCACCCTCAATGCAATACACTCGTAGTGTTGAGCAATTTGTCTTGATTTTGCATTTTCATCTCAGATATTGCCTTGCAGCATCCACCACTACACTCTGAGGCAGATCGACTACATTCAATGATTGGACTTGCAAGACACAGTGGACTCACTTATGCAGACTCGTTGGCAACAACCCCATGAATATCACATCAATTCCAGACACACAGAGGCATGTTATCACATGTTTTATAGGTTAGCTTGTCACCCTCCCTCAATCTCAGTTGTCAGACATCCTGCCTGATCTCTGGGATCTAGGACCTGACTCGTCCCTGTCAGTCTTGAATGCACACATTTGAGTTTCCTTTGTGCAACAACCCAAGCAGTGGCTCTACATCATCGAGTCACTGTCGTCAAATCTGGTGCCCTGGAAACTGGTGGTTCCCGATGCTATTATGGCTGCGATGTGCCTCTGGTGTGACTGGGGCTTGAATATCACCAAGATCGCGTATAACCTCCTTGAAAAAGGAATTGCTATAAAGACGTTGCAGCCAATCTCAGTTCTGCCTCATGCTCTATGCCCACTTATGGAACTCCATACATACTCACTCGGACACGTCTTCCCCCTGAGGATCATAGGCTCGCCCATTTTAGGCCTGTTTTTGCCAACTACATCGTGTACAAGTAGCACCGTCACAAGTTCATGAACCAGCCTCGTGCAAGAGTGGCACTTCTTTATGGTGGCCTCATATGGCGGCTGTCATATACCAGATGTGAGCACCTCCAATACCACCTGTGAACATCCCTACCACCAGTCTGACACCCTGTTTCCCCATCCGCTCCATCCCTTCTTCTCCAACAATGCACAAAGTGCATCTCAGCAGGACTAGCCCTGCTACCTCCACCCGACTCTATTCCGCTCCTCCAACACTACCCCTATTTTCTCTGACACTATATCCCATACCTCCAGATCTGGAATTCTGGATACTCCCCTATGAAAGTCTGGTTCTCTGTCCTGATATCCGCCCGGCACTCCTGCTTTCATCTCCGGGCTCACTCCTATCTCCTTTTAGAATAACTGTTCTCTGGCTACTGGTTATGTTTCTTTCTGCTATGCTTACTGATCTGTTCCATTTGTACTTCATCTCTGACTTCACTACTTTGATCCGTTATGCACTTACTAACACTTTCCACATGCTTCGTACAAGGGTATGTACTCGGGTAAGGGACGCAGCGCACGAGCTGAAGCCAAAGCCCTTTGAGTTGTCTTCCCCTTGTGCACGACCTTAACAGCGGCTGGCTTTACATAGTCTTGGGTTTGATGTTCTCCCCTCCGTTCTTGATGGCATTTCACAGGAAGTGGTACCATTTGGCCTCATGCTGGACATTAATGGCCAGACTTATTTCAATGATGAGCTGTTAGAAGAGGAGGTAGATTTCATGTGTGGGACATATTATTTGCATACCAGTAAGTTTCTCTCTGTTTACATCAACAGAGGTGCTTATGTTTGAATAATGATCTAGACGATGGGAATGTTGAAATCGTCTCCTGGTGGCCCAGGCCCCAGGCCTGGGCTGCCTCAGGACTAAATGTGGGGTTCTGGTCCAGTTGCTCTGAATTTTGGTTCCAGTTGTGCCTGGACAACATTCAACAGGGTGTTTCACAAGAGCAACATAAATTCACTAATGATGCTAATGGTCCAATGACTGGCTCGCAGTGGAAAGGCTCAATGCAGGCACCAAAAAAATGATGAAAAACATCAATGTGGCATCTTGCAGTTTTCTTGCCACCAAAGCAAGAGGTAAGAACAAATTGGTTGTTACTTGTGCGTCTCTAATCTCCTGCTCAGCTTTTACAGAGAATTAGCACTAGCCTGTATACAGGTTGAAATGATTTTGTAAGTACATTCATTCACCTCAAGAAATCACCGATGTCTGACTACTGTGAAACAGGCTTCAGTTTCACTCTACTATGTTTGTGTACAGTAGATTTGTGTACGGTAGATTTGTGTACAATATTTCATATCTCACTTCACATTGTCTAGTCCCATAATATTTCGCATCTCAAACTTAAGTGGGTGATGACATTGTAAGTGGGCGATGATTCAGCCATGAGTGGGCGATCGTCAGGCAATTGGTTTTATCTGGAGATAAAACTTGACGATCTATCTTCATGTTTTATTGTCAGGGGGTATTTTGAATTTTAATGCCTGTCTAAGCGACAGTCTAAACTTCATACATGAGCAGACGTTCAGTCACGTGCAATAGTTGAAGTTTATGCCAGCATTAAAGATATATTTATATTTCTTATTATCATTGATGTTCAGACAGTAACAAAATGTTCACTGATACTTTATATTTCTCTTGTTGTGCAAGATCTCTTTAACATTTGAAATTTTACATCTGCTTAGACAACCACCTAAATATTAAGTATTATCTTGACATTTCGCACAACATTCAAACCAATCTTAAATATTTGAATCCCTGATGTGTAAGATACTAAGAGTCAGTTTGGCAACTTGATATTGGGGTGTATTTGCCAACATGTGCATCTGAAGCAATGTGAGTTGCATCGGCATGCTCCTTAGACTTCGTCCCCGAGGTTGTGAATCCTCACTAGTACTATGGAGTTCCTACCTGAAGTCCTTCCAGGGCTTTGTCTTCAACACCGGCCACAGCTTCATCATAAGATCATACAGTATACGGTACTTCTACTTAGCATTCTCATCCATGCATCTGGTAGTCTTGTAGCATCTATGTACCCAAAGGACCCAGAACCCTACCATACATCAGCGCTTTCTGGTGAAGCATGGGTGGTTGAATTACTCACTGGTCATCCTGAATGCATTTGTTGCAAGCTCGGTGTGCATGCCCATGTCTTTGCAAAGATCATATCAGAACTCCGTACCCTTGGCTATTCCAATTCCAAGTTCGTCTCTCTTGAGGAGCAACTGGCTATTTTCTTGTATGCTGCTGTGACTGGCCTGTCAATCAGGCACATTGGAGAAAGGTTTCAGCGTTCCAATGAGACAATATCTCAGTGAGGGTCATATTTTCATTGACTGGACTCATGTATCTCACTATCTCTAGATACTTTTGAAGGATGGTCGTAATTTTCTCAACCCCACCATTCTATTCAAACTACGTGCACCTGCCATCAGACGAGTAGCTTCCTGGAGAATCCCCCAGAATCCTAAATTCTGGCCCTTTTTCAAGGATGCCATTGGGGCACTTGATGGGAGTCATATTCATGCTACACCTCCTGCACTTGAATGTGCTGCCTACTGGGATTGCAAGGGTCTTGTATCTCAAAACTGCCTGTTCACATGTGACTTCAACATGAACTTTACCTATGCTCTCACTGGTTGGGAGGGATCTGCCACAGACGCATATGTTTTTGAGGATACATGTACTAAAGACCTTCATATCTCTGAAGACAAATATTTTCTTGCTGACGCTGGTGATCCTCTATGCCGTGGACTTCTGATCCCATACCATGGTGTCTGCTATCATCTTGCTGAGTGGGGGCAAGCGAGTGTCAGGTGAGATCATATTCTTCTGAACGCCATCTCTGAGATGCTAACATTGATGACAGGCCGTGCAATAAAGAAGAATTATTCAATCTTCACCATGCCATGGCAAGGAACATCATTGGACATATTTTCAGTGTCTTAAAACACTGCTTTCGCATCCTCATTCTCTCACCGAGGTATAACTTAGAGATTCAGGCACAGATTCCAGCCGCTCTATGTGCAATCCATAACTTTATACGCCTGCATGACCAACAGGAGGGCCCTCTCCCAGATACCGACTCAGATGGGGATCCAGTGGAGGATGGGGCTGAGCCACTTGATGCAGTAGTACTTGAGGAAGAAACACAGTAAAATGAAATGAGCTGCTTGTGCAACCGCATTGCTGAGAGTGTGTGGGTTCAATATGGGCAGATTTTGCATGAATGAGCACTAGCAAATGGTGATAATCTAGACGAAGAGGACTTCCTACTTGACTTTGATGATGAGAATGCAGACGAGGACGAAGGCGCAGACGATGATATTGATGCATAGATCATATGCGTATTACAATCCAATGCTACATGACTTTGTAGGACAACAGACAACAATGGGGTGGGAACAGCGCAACAACCGTGAGAGCACAGAGCAATACAGCCTAAGATACATTGTACAACTTGCTCACATTGCCTCAGATGCACATGTTGGCAAATACACCCCAACATCAAGTTGCCAAACTGACTCTAATAGCCCCTCACATTAACAAACCTCACGTGATGTAACTTTACTGTGACCACACTGTGACTCTGCACGGTGCTTACAGGTACAGAAGTACTGGCAGAGGTTCAGAAGACATTAGTGTAATAATAAGGTATTGGACTACTAACTATATGGTGATATATGTACTAGTAAATTATATGACAATAGTAAATGTGCCATTAGTTAACTTGTGCATCTTCAAGTTCTTTCATTATTGCTGAGGGGAGCACACAGTGACCCAAATGTTGCTTTGCGGCCCAAGCAGCTTGCTTCCCATTCAAGCCTTTTGATATGCGTCCATAAAACAATGAGATCTAATGGCAAACCTGTTGATTTTTATTAGTGTTCAAGGATACTAAGACTTGGATAAGGCTGCTACCTGCTTACTTTCACATACTTGTCAGGGGAATGGCACCCAGTGCTTTGATTACATTGTCCTCCAGATCACTTTCCTTTGTTGATGCTGGGTAGCAACAATAAATGTGTTTCGCGAACCCCCAGCATTGTTGGATAAAGTTTAATTCACAGTGAAACCTTGGAAGAAAGAGCACCTTAAATCCCCTTTGTCATATACCAGATCTGACTGCTTCAACTTCATTGATATCCACTCTGATTCTATCATCCACTTTCCTCTTACTTCCGCTCTGCTCGTTCCCCACCCCAGTGCACCTGCTCTGCCGCCTTGATCAGCTTACTTCCTGTATCGGTTCCATTCAACTGGACCTCTTTCCCCATTTAGGTATATACTTCCCCCTTTGATACATAGCTCTTACTTCTTGGATCACCAGTTATTACTATAGCCATCCAATTACTGATCTGTCTCATACATATTGATATCTGCTCTGACTCATATGTTTTCCTTGGTAATCCTACTTACATACTGTACACTCAGCACATAGCATTATGCTATATATTACTGATCACTGCCTTGCTACCTAGAGTATATAACATATCATGTACTTAGCCTGTATTTCCTCAGTCTTAATATTACTTGTCTTCTCCCAGTTTCTACTGTGGGAATTCTCTGTAGGACTTGCTTAACTCCAGACACAAGTTTCATCTTGTCATTGCCTCTACTCCTCTGCTCCAACTTAGAGCTGTGCTCTAAGTCATTACCTTTACTTCCCTCTATCTAATAATCTTACCTCCAATCCCCCTGATCCCTTCCACCTCTCTGCCTGCTTACTAGTCAGCCTACCACTAGTAACCCTTTACTTCCCAACCCTCAAAGCAGATCAAAGTGGTCCACTTGTCCTATTGTCAGACAACATCGGTCCTGCTCCAAATTTGGGGCATGTACTCGGCTAAGTGCGCAGTGCAAGAGCTGAAGCCAAGCCCTGACCCCTCTGCTTCTCCATCTGAGCACAGTACCTAACAAACACCCTTAAATCACACATTGTCTCCAACTTTGACTCCACATTGATGAAATCTGCTTGATTATAGAGGATACAATGGTAGTAACAAGTGATTGAACTCTGGGTACAAGCAAAATTCTTGCACTGTGCCTTTAACCCACTGACATCGAAACTGTGCTCCTCCAGGATAGTTGCCATCCCATTAAATAGTTCAGCACTCTTGTGTCCATCAGGACAGTAAAACTTGTGAAGTGATCCATTGAATAAGCTGTCTGTAATGCAGATTTTGTGCATTGAGACCTTTCCATTGGGCCCATAGATCTGTTTCCCCTCTGCATCTCTCATTGGAGCACTGACACCCTAGACCTTGCAACTCTTTGGCATTTAATGAGCACTCAAAGCACCATCCACCTGTTTCATGTGAGTAGTTGTGTTGTCAAATACAAAAACATGGTCTTCATCTGTGTTAGGTACTGTGCTTGGATGGAGAAGCGGAGGGGTTGGGGCTTGGCTTCAGCTCTTGCGCTGTGCCCTTAGCTGAGTACATGCCCCAAATTTGAAGCAGGACCGACATTATCCAACAATAGAATAGGTAGATATGCTTATATACTTCTAAGTAAGGAGGCAGTGATCAGTAGTCCATAGCATAAGGCTATGTGCTTGAGTATACAATTTGTAAGTATTACTGCAGAGGAAAACATAAGCCAGAGTGGATATCAATATGTACATGATGGATCAGTAATTGAGCGGTTATAGGAAATACTGGTGATCTGGGAAGTAAGAGCTATGTTCTGAAGGGGAAAGTATATACTTAATGGAGAAATGGTTCCAGTTGAATGGAGCCAATACAGGAGGTAACCAACAAGGCAGTGGAGTGGAAGCACTAGGGTGGGGAACAAGCAGAGCGGGATGAAGGGTAGAACAGAAAGGATGTAGTCGGGCAGAGTGAATATAAATATCATTGGAGCAGTCAGATCTGGTATATGACAGTTTGCATAATCCTTTTCCAGGATTGTCATTGCTTTCTTGGCATGATGAATAATCTCATCATTCAAGAAGTATCCATCCCTCCCCTTTCCTGCTCTGAACAGCACCCGAGTAGATTCATCCCCATCATGCAACCATAAC